CAAGCAAAATTAACTACACAATCACTACAATTTGAATCGACAACAAACCTTGGCATCAGTCACAATCTTGACCGTGTTCTCTCCAAATTTATCAAAGATGTCCTGCAGCTGCGACTCCTTGGTGAGGGTGCTGAGGCCGAACACACCCAGGCACTTGTTAGGGACAGGATCATCACGTGTGCCCACATGGCGGCGCCTGTTTGACATGGGGGAGCGGGATCTGCGGGACGCTCGGGCTGACGAACGACCTTCTGCATAGCCATTGCGGCGTGAGGACGATGAAGCTGAGCTGCCACTGCGCGATGAGCGAGCGCGCCGGTGAGGCGTGCGTGAACTGCGCACAAAAATCCCTCGAAATTATTACATTATAATAACGTTTACAGCAGCACCTACAAAAGCAGGCCAATAAAAGTTTAAATCAATATAGTTAAATGAAGGAATTTGATCATTTTTCTCTCACAAGTATTAACATTTCCTAATAATTCAATAGCTAGTTTTAGACGAGTTAAAATTTTTTTCATTCTTACTATTGTTCTCCCTTTCAGTATTAATAAAAGAAACAAATAAATATTCATGGCCTTGTGTAATGTAATGGATGAAATCCCAAGTAGCAACTGCAGTGCATTGCAGCACCAGGAACTCCACTGTACTTAAATTGCCACGTCACTGAGAGTGAACAACCATCAGTAGATTGCATCTTATGGCATGTATGAGAAACAATACGATATATGCATGGATTTTTGTGTGAAATTAACATACATGAGAAATAGTATGATAAGCCTCTTTTTTCGGATGAATTTATCATTTTCAAAAAATAACATGAATGAAATTTAAAATATTAATCCATGAAATACTTCCATGGGCTATATAGTCAATATATACCGTAATTCATGTATATACTTATAAAATCCACTCCAATTATCACTTTATTTCCAGATATTTTCAACCATGTTCATTCCAATGATACCGGTAGTTATTTATTCTTTATTCATAGAAGATAGAAAATGAAGGGAAGCTATCAACTGAACTTACTAATGACATAAAAAGGACAATACATTTTCAAAGTCTTTGAATATTTTAAGAGTACATTTTTTCATTACCCGATTGTCAATTGGTCCTCATTTTATATCAATTGTGTTTAAAATAAAATATCCTATCCAATATTTCATCTATTTGCCCACAAGGTACATTTTATGATGCATTGAAATTCAAAATAAATCCATCAACATGTAGTTATTGCATTGCAAATAACACAAAAACAATGAGATACAAATCATTTCTCCATGATTTTGTATTTCAGGCAGAGGTGGGTTAATGAAAACAACAGCATCGCTTTTTGCAAGTATTTGAACCTAAATAAAGAGCAGTGCATCCTCAACTTATATAGATAAATTTAGTAGTAAAACACTATTTAGTGAAAATTAGGCAATAATCTAGCCTAAAAAGAAAACAATATCCAATATATTTTGCATGAACTACATTCCAACAATATATCACATCATACTATGCCAAGATGTAAATGTCATTAGAGAACATGGTAAACATTTTTCTGCTCACCGTGAACGGGAGGGTCGATGCCGAGGAGCTGGTGTGTGGGAGCGTGACCGCTGCGGAGCAGGTGATGCTTCAGACCTGGGGCTGCCACTATGATCTGACGACTGAAGAAACACTTGGTCAAAGAACATCAAAAACATGGATAACTTGCAAGATGCAATGACACCAATAAATCGTGACAATGGTGGCTTGATTCGATAGTCACAGCAAAATCCATTCTTTGAATTTTAAGAATTTTTTGAAGAATTTTAATTAGTCATGAAATTAGGTTTCAGAACAATCTTGACTGAAAGAATGGGAACTAATAACTACAAATAAAAATTTCTAATTTGAAACAAAATGCTAACAAGTTCATTCTTCTTGGGATTTCTTATCCATCTAAAATCAATAAGCCATCTTATGAAAATTGATTAACATGATCTACTGAGGCTATAGGCTAATCATTCAGAGATTTGAAATTTCACAAACTATTGCCTTCCATTCCAATAAGATTGAACAAGGGTAGCATCAACTATTCTTCCCAGAGAAATGTTTAGAATATGCATCCAGAAATAAATCAGTTCTCTCAAGCAATCACTGACCCATACAAATAAATCCATGTGTAACAACCATACAGTTTAGTGTAATCAGAGTTCTAATGCACAGCAAGTTCCAAAAGGCATAGGAAAATCTTCACATAATTTCAAAGCAAGTTGCTGCAGAGTGTAGACCATGTTGTTTTATAATATTGGCTACTAGCAATTTCTAAGCAAATACCAAAAATTAATGTTGGAAAATATAGGAATATAGTGTCCCACATTAACAAGAAATTTAAATCTAAAAGAACCAGAAACAGTCTAACTATTATTTTTTATTTATCAAAGAAAGTTGAGAAAAGGTGGTCCTGATGAAGAGATGGAGGTCAACTTCCTTACTTTAATCTAGTTGGGAATTCAAACTTTCAGTTATGAGCACAATTTAAATTTACAAATTCATTATCCTAACCTATTTAATATACATATAGCTAGGTTTAAAGCATAAAATAATTACAAAACGAAATTTGTTGAAAATGGTTTGCATTCTAATATAGTTCTGTACATGGTAATAATTTAAAGTGTGCAGTGGTTCAAGAATGCCAGACGCCGGCATATAACACTTGGCACCGTGATTGTCATGAAGGATCCCCAGACCAAACAATATCATTGTCATTTTTATAAGGAAATTATCAAATAGGTGCGCAAAGAAGGGAGCAATACAAGGATCTAGATACTCTTTTGCCAAATTTCAAAGACGTGCATGTGATTTGTGAGACATGTTAAAATAATCCAGATTTGGGAAATTCCTGAAAAACTATCCAGAAATGGAGGCTCCCTCGCCCTCGTGATACCGACACCCACTGACCTGAATAACTAATACCTAAGCATATACAATACAATCTTGATTTACTAAGTAATTTAAAAACTAAAGAATTAAGCAGCATAATATTTTGCTTACTAATGTAGGTTACAATTTCAAGCACACTTCACTCCTTTGTTCATATTTTAAGCTTTACAATTCACTTCAACGTAGCTGAAGCACAGGATTGCATTTTTTATATTGTGCACAAATCTCAAGATGTTTGACCTTGCTAGATGCTAGAATGTTGACAATTGATATCACCAATAAAAAAATATCATTATCATCAATAATTGTTACAATAACTGCTATGAAGAAACCGCGTTTGGAAACATGAGAACGTGTTTGCTCTAGCACAAGAGAAGAGTTCAGACTACTGAGGCCGCAAGGCGGAGCTTGCGGATGTCACATGTGCACAAGTGATGCATTGTGTGTGACATCACAGGAATAAATTTTGTGAGCCAATTTTATGAGCCGCAAGTAAATAAATAAGTAATTAGAAATGGAAAATGTGTTGCTGGAAGTCTAGAACATTCCAACAGACTGTGCCTAAACAGACTTTTTATATCATCTTATCGGTTAAATGTACGACAATAAAGTAGTTCATTTGCTTACCACAGCTGGTACTGCAATCTGTATGTGAGCCATTCTAGACTGGAAATATGCTTCATTTCTAATAAAATTTTGTAAATTTAATAATTAATACTCAACGTTATTGAATATCAACAAATAAAATTCATTCTAAATTACTAATTTGATTGTACTTTTAGTAAAATGAAGATTACTTTTCCTATTATAAATTTTTTTTATTGCCATAATTCATAGAAAATTTCTAATTCATAGAAAATTTTTCACCAAAGACCTAGTCTCATAATTCTCCATTACAGAATAGTCATGGAGCTTGGAGAATTCATGGACAACAAGTTCTCACATTTAACATGAAAATTAACATGTCGAGGCATGTATTTTACTTGTAACAAAGCATGGAAAAATGGGAATACAACTTCTATGATTAATTTGTAGCATGAACATGTACCAAATGCATCAAATTATGAATCAATAATTCAAGGTACATCTGTAATTGTACACAATGAACCAGTGATAAAAGAACCATACATTAAAAAACTGATTGCCTTGGTCAAATATGGGCAGAACAGCATCAGCAGCTAGCTGTACCAGCAGCTGTGGCAACTTGATCGAAGATTTTCGAAGTAAAAAGCCTAAACAAAGTGCAGTTCTACAGTCTTAGGTGCCTAATTCAACCAGAAAAAATATTTTAAAAATATACGTTTCTGCATGGATTACAATTCTGTTAACATTACATTGAGAAACTTCAAAGAATCTTTTGTGCAAGAAATACTTGCTAAATAAATTATACTTTTTATATAAACGTCACTTAAAAACTGAAGTTACTGAACACTTCAAGCCTTGCAGCGATCAGTTTTGAAGTGATATTTATAGTCAAATTGAAATTTATTTAGCAAGTATTTATAACAAGAGATGCTCAAGGTTTTCCAATATTAACAGCATTAATATCCATGGAGAAATATAAATTTTCAACATTTTTTAGGCTGAATTAGGCAGTAGGCTCCTAATGAGTAAGCCAGTAAGGACTTGAAACCATACTTAGTTGAAGCCCTAAAACTATCAAATTTTTTTGACATAGCTGCCACAGCTGCTGGTGCAATTTCATGTTCCAGGTGTGGGATATATATCTACTATTCAACCACAACCATTATTTTTCAGTCATCTTTGGAGTCATGAGATGATGAGATTCCTGCTAGATGAATTAGGTACTTAGGATAAACACACCATAGTCCAGCACCTTAAGGACATTGCAAGAAATAAATGGCTATAAATAAATCACCTTATGCGCAACTTGAGTTCTGATTGTGATTGGTTTACGTCACTCAAAACCCCACACTATGTGCCAGCAATGATGAAACGTCACAATTTCACAAACTGTTGCCATATTTATTTAAAAGCCTTTAGAATTCAAATCTACAAAATCGCTGAATTCTGAACCAGCATATTGCGAGAATAATTCTGACAGTGCTTCAAAATAATAATTTCAACGCCCTGTGTTGGAATTCAGATACCCTGTGTGAGCTGCATTGGAATACGACACAGCTCGGAACAAGCTATGTGTGTGTGTAATTCCGAGCTGTGTCAGAATTAGCTTTCATGTGTCCAAAACCATCTCTTAACTTAATCATCTATTAATTTATTTACCACTTAAAATCAGCTGTCAGCACATACAAGTAGGGTAAACGCGGTATATTCCGACATCATGGGTAATTCCTTCACCTCTCTAGTTTTTCCTTTATATTAAGCTTTGTTTTAGTTCCATGCGTTCATTGATGGTTGAAATGGTGACGTCATACATT